TATTCACGCTTTTGTGACCTCCAGGTTGGATTATTGTAATTCCTTGTACTACGGTCTTCCCTCTTCTCTTCTTCTTAGACTGCAAACAGTCCAAAATGCGGCAGCCCGCCTCTTGACTGGTACCAGGGAATTTTGCCCTATTACTCCTGTTCTAGCTAGCTTGCACTGGCTGCCCATAAACTATCGTATTCAATTTAAAATATTACTCCTTACATTTAAAACTATTAATAAATTAGCGCCGAATTATCTTAGTGAACTTCTCAAGCCACATACTCCTGCTAGAACACTTAGATCTGCCACTCAACTACTTCTGGCGCAACCTAGATCTCGGCTGAAGGGACCGTGCGTTTGCTCTGGCTGCCCCGGTACTGTGGAATACCCTTCCCCTTGATATCCGCGCATCTGATTCTGTAGCACTGTTTAAATCACGACTAAAAACCCATTTTTTTTTCAATCTTGCCTTTCCCTCTAGTTAACATTTCTTTTATGATTTTATATTATGCACTTTTATGCTCATTTAATTCCTTGTTTGTTCTGTATCTGTTGCTTTCTTGTGTATCAGTGACAGCTATCTGCTTGCATACCTAGTACTTGCTTTGGTCCTATTTCTGTTATCTTCCTTTTATTCTCTTTGTTACTTGTTAAGCACCTTGGCATACCCTTGGTTTTTAAGTGTGCTTTATAAATAAAGTTTATTACTATTATTACATTTTGGGGCATGTAATCTGTAGTGGAATACTGTTTAAAAGTAACCTTCCCAACACGGCATATAACTGATACAATAGACTAGATCTAAGTCAGCAGTGGATCCAACTAATCATTCTTCTTCACAGAAAAAAAAAAAAAAGGAAGTGTGGAAACCTCTCCGTGAATCGCTACCTTATCGTGGTGGAGGGGTTTGTGTGTCCCAGGGGCTATGTTGTCTGGAGGTTTTTGCCCCCTGGTAGAGTCTCCGATGGCAAATTGGTCCTGGGTGAGGGACCAGACAAAGAGCGATTCAGAAGACCCTTATGAGAAAAACATCGAGGGAACAGTTTACCCTGCCCGGGAAAGGGTTACCGGGGCCCCGCCCTGGAGCCAGGCCTTGGTAGGATGCCCGAGGGCGAACGTCTGGTGGCCGGGCCTTAGTCCATGGGGCCCGGCCGGGCACAGCCCGAAAAGGAGACATGGGCCCATCCTCCCGCAGGCCCACCACTTGCAGGAGGTGCCATAGGGGTCGGGTGCATTGTGTGCTGGGCGGCAGCCAGGAGTGGAGGCCCTTGCTGCCAAGACTGGCAATTGGGACATGGAATGTCACCTCTCTGGTGGGGAAGGAGCCTGAGTTAGTGCGTGAGGTTGAGAGGTACCGGCTAGATATAGTCGGGCTCACCTCTACGCATGGCTTGGGCTCTGGTACCAGTCTCCTGGAGAGGGGCTGGACTCAGTCTGGAGTTGCCCCTGGTGAGAGGCAGCGGGCTGGGGTGGGTATTCTAATATCCCCTCGTTGGGGTTCTTCCCGGTGGATGAGAGGGTTTGTTCCCTGTGCCTTAGGGTCGGGGAACAGGTCCTGACTGTCATCTGTGCTTATGCGCCAAATGGCAGTTCAGAGTACCCAGCCTTCTTAGAGTCCCTGGGTGGGGTGCTGGAAGGTGCTCCACCTGGAGACTCTGTTGTCCTACTGGGAGACTTCAATGCTCATGTGGATAATGACAGTGAGACCTGGAGAGGCGTGATTGGGAGGAACGGCCTCCCTGATCTGATCCAGAGCGGTGTTTTTTTACTGGACTTCTGTGCAAATCACAGTTTGGGTATAATGAACACCTTGTTCGAACATAAGAGTGTCCATAAGTGCACGTGGCATCAGGAAGCTCTAGGCCGCAGGTCGATGATCGATTTTGTAATCGTATCACCAGACCTGCGGCCATATGTTCTGGGTAAAGAGAGGGGCTGAGCTGTCAACTGATCACCACCTGGTGGTGAGTTGGATCAGGTGGCGGGGGACGACGCTGGAGAGACCCGGTGCACCTGCTGGGAATGTCTAGCAGAGGCCCCAGTCCGCAAGATCTTCAACGCACACCTCCGGCAGAGCTTCAACAGCATTCCGAGGGAGAGGCAGCTGACAGGTTTCGACAGACCAAGTGGGATGCGGCTTGGGCAGTGGCTGAAGCAAAAACTCGGGTGTGGGAGGAGTTCGGAGAGGCCATGGAAAAAGACTTTCGGACTGCCTCGAAGAGATTCTGCCAAACCGTCAGGCGTCTCAGGAGGGGAAAGCAGTGCTCTACCTGCACTGTGTATAGTGCTGGCGGAGCGCTGCTGACTTCAACTGAGGAAATTGTCAGGTGGTGGAAGGAATACTTTGAGGACCTCCTTAATCCACTGACACGTCTTCCGAGGAGGAAGCAGAGTCTGGGGATGAGAGGAATGACCCCCCAATTTCCGGAGGCGAGGTCACTGAGGCAGTTAAACGACTCCTTGGTGGCAGAGCCCCTGGTGTTGATGAGGTCCACCCCGAGTTCCTGAAGGCTCTGGACGTTGTAGGGCTGTCCTGGTTGACATGCCTCTACAATGTTGCGTGCAGACTGGGGTGGTGGTCCCCATCTTTAAGAAGGGGGACCG